AACACATATTAAGTATAATGTCCTCAGATAGTATCCAAAGAGTTTCCCATTCTTGTTCCTTTATTGACGTCAGGGTAGTTGAGCCGTGACACACCTGCAGTTAATGAAATTAGTGCAGAGAAAATTCACAGTATCCACCAGGGAACATTAAGAGTTGTTCCCGCTGAGACGTTTGTGGAAGTGGCTGAGTACATCATCCAAACACACAATGCGTTAGAAAGGAAAGTAACTGGATATGGGGGAGGGAGATCCCTGAAATGCTTCTGTAGTAAAAGCTGCGAAAGGCTATTTTGATGATGGAACCTCCTCCACCTCTCAGCCCCTGCCTCTTGGAGTGTAGTGTTGGCCCATCAGGTCTGGCCTTGTGTGCTAATTTTAAATTTGTCTACAGTTACAGGAGATTTTTTATGAATGTTTCCATTGTTGTTTTTGTTTTTAACCTTGACCATAACTGTGCTGATATGAGTTTAAACTATGAAATTATATGAAATATGACATTTCTTTCATCGGAGTCATCTAAAATTGTGGGATTGATGGAGTGTTAGACCAACTCCTCAAGCACATCTCACTGAATTCTGGCTCTAGCTCTGCTTTTGCTTTTCTGATCCAATTAAAGAGTTCAATGTGTAGCCTTTAATAGGATCAGGTGTGCGAGAATAGTAGCTGTAAAAAGCTAGAGATCAGGAAGCTGTTACAGAGTTGAAAGGCATAACTTGTGACTACCCTGTCATGAGAAAGTATTCCTGCTACTAAATGTCTGTGGTCAGAGTAGTCTGTATACAATCTGACTGAAAACCAAAGAGAGCAAATTGGCATATATAGGTACAAGTGTACAAGTGCACAGCAAAATGTCCCAAATGAAATTGTTCAGTGGATGTGGAATAGTTCACTATATATTTGAACTTTGCACACATACAAAGCAGGGTGAGCCACAGGAATTGGTTAAACAGAAGCAGGTACTAGCTGCAACTGGTGCATTGCAGCACCTGGCCTACCCCAGAGTCTCCTGCTGCGAGGGCTCATTCAGAACGCAGAGGAGCAACATCAATCACAGCTGCTCAGCCTGTTCCTCTGGCCTGTTATTTCACACAGGCCTTATGCCGCAGTCACCGGATATGCCAGTCCCCTGTTTTTGTTTGTCATTGTAGACACTAATCTCTTCATTTACCAAAGACTTTTTATGACTAACTTTGTTTGCTGGCTTTGTCCCTTGGTGTGCAAACTGAGATCTCTCTTGGGCATATAATCGATTATTACTGACATTTAATTGAACAGTCCAGAGGTTTGACTGTCACTTAACAATAGAAATGGTCCGTCATTGCCGACGTTGGTATTTTTTCTTACTGCAAAGCAAACTTATCTTCAAATGCATATCTTATCTCATAATCTGTACAACCTAAGCTAAAAGGGTATTTATGTCTATGAAACATAGTAATACTAGCAATAAAACCATGTCATAAATGTAGATATTTAATATATATAAAAATATATATATTATATAATTTATACATTTTATATCTGGCAGGTTTTTCCATCATAATTTGCTAATATCGATTCAAAAAAAATACTTACTTGAACTATGTACATGTTTTAGTTTTTGAGATATGCCATTATTTCTGCTCCTCTCTGGCCGCCACCGTCTTCACAAGCATACACCATGGCAGAGGACTGAGGCGGAGGCTTTCTGTTGCCAAAAGATTACATTTTCTATCTTTCATGTTTCTTTTAAATTTTAGATTAATTTGAGCAAGATCATGGACAATCTCTTTCAGCCATTTTGGGTTAACTGTTGTCACATTGCACATTACGAGACAGAATGACGTCATCACAAGTGTATAAGATGATAGATATCCGGTACAAAAATAATAGATGTTTTAGGTATTTAGTTTTTTTTAAATTGTAGATAGATTTAAACAGGATCATGCATACAAACTGCCTATGGGATGTCCAGGTTCAGAGTGTTAAACACTGGCCATACAGTATAATGCAAATTTAAAAACAACAAACCTGTCATTAGCAGCATGATGTGTCTTTACTTAAGCACCAGTCACCACTCTTTAATCTCCGGAAGTTCCCTGGATCTATTCAGCCTTTTACCAACACACTAATCCAATGAACCGCCTACAGTATATTGATGTGATGTCTTGCATAACAAGGCTAGGATAGCCAACTCATGTTTTCCCCTGTGACCAAATGACCACAGGGGGTGGTTTAATTTTAGCCCTAGAGCACTTGCTAAAGAGAAGAGCTGTCAAGAAATGATATTTGGAAGAAGCAATGATTGGCAGTCACTCTTTCGTAAATCTGTAAAAGGTCAAGTGGATCATTACATTAACCAGCACTTTAATTTAAGATTTCAGGTTTGTGCAAAATTAGTTAGAAAGTGTGAAGAGTAAGATGAGAATAAGAAGCAAAGTAAAAAGAGCAGAGAAAGTGGGAAGTGTGACTTTGAAGACTGAGGCTGCCTTCTTTGTTTCCTCTTGACTTGACATGACAAGGAGGAAATACTGTAGGCAGGGGGATGGGGCGCACAAGTGCAACTGGGGCATCCGGTTGGGACTCTGGTTACAGTATCCCATGACACCGCGTTTTGTTTTTGTTGATGTTTCAAGCCACCAGTGTCCCTTGCCTCTCTCCGTGCCTCAGAATGGCCCTTCTTTCCATTTTTAAACTTTAGGGTTTATCTGCAGTCTTGGAAGCAATGCCTGCCCTTGCCTCATAACCCCTAACACCACCACTACTGCAGGATTGGGAAGGCCATCCAGCACCTACCCTGTCACATGCATGCAATTTGAGAGTCTAAGAATACTGTTGAGTTATGAGTTTTACAGGAGGGCTCTCTTGGTAGTGCAAAGGACACTAATCTTGACATATCAATTAAAATATGAGGATAGGGGAATGTGAAACTCAGGAACTGTCATTTTTATCTTCAAATTAGATGATTTATATAGGTATGTCAGATATTTCAACTTCAAATGGTGCTTTAGTCTTATATTATATTATATTATAGTATTGATAGAACATTTAGCCTGTCCAACTCCACATCAGTTAAGGAGATGTCCGTCTCAAACATGAATGTAAATATATAGGAATAAAGCTTTTTTTCATTATTTCTTATCAGAATATCTAATGATCTTTTCTGTTGAAAAAACAAGTTTGAAGTTATCTTAACTCTTAGACTGCTAACTCTAACATTTACTCAGAGTTGGCACTAAATTATTTGACACCTTGACACGTCAAAGAAGTCGTGCATGTAGCTGTATTTTATGAAAATGGGCAACCAAATAGTTAAGTGTAAACTTTGTCAACAGCAGTTTTCATATCACAGCTCAATAAGCAACCTTGACAGATCATCTAATAACAGGGAGCTAACACGTTTATGTTAGGATGTTCCATATGTTTGTTCTAATACTGACTTAATCTGCTGCGAATACAGTCTAGAAAATATTATTCTCTTCGACCAATTGATTGGCTGAAGAGTAGGTTTGATTTTAGTCAACCAAGATTTTCTTCGACTACAGCCCTACTACTGTTAAGTTATCATTTTTACAGCCTTGACTAACCTCAGGACAGCTTACTGGGTCATTAGGAAGAAACTGTTTTACATCCACTGGATCATGCCTGAGCAGTCCTTGTGCATCTTTGCAAATCATTCTGTCCAAAAGATTGATTCTTTGGTGTGTTTTGTATTCTGCACTGCAGTAAGCAGCTTCAAGCTACAGTAGAGGCTTGAGATATTCTTGACATATCCCAAGACATTCTTTTTACATGACACAGCACCTCTCCTGCATGGAAAACATGTCTGTGTTTTTAATCCTACAACATATGAGGGAATGTCCAGGTCTGTCACTCCGGTTAACAAAGAAGGAGGCAGAAACCCGTTGGTAAACAAAAACGATGTTGTGTGGTTGTTGGTAAAGATGGAAAAAATACATGTGTCCCATGTACAAATCTGATTGGATGTGTTTAGCCAACACAGCTCCATCCTACTTCGTTGAACTTGGTGGGAGCAGAGCAGTGCCTTGATTTTCCATGGTTGGAAAAGCTGAACTGTGCTGATCTGTGGCGTCTGACTATAATGCATTTTTATCATCAAGAAGTTAGGATAAAATAGATGAATAAACGGAGGAATGACTAAGCTCTGTTTGTCATCAAAACAATTTGGGTCTGAGGATTTGTTTTTAGGATATTTATGTCATATTTATGTCAGTGATGTTTTTTTTACATACAGAAAAATACAAAAATTACAGCTGTCACCACATGAGCCACACAGCTAAGTTTTATCTAGTGTTGCCAGCAGGATGTTACTCCTGACAGGAAATTCCCAGCTTTAATAACAACACATTTCCAGCAACAAGTCGTCCTGGAAAATCCTCAAGGGGACAATCACTGAAATGTGAAATTCAAATGTTTCAAGTAATGGGACTATGGACATTTCCTGAATTTTCTACCAGGGTTTGTTTTGTTATCGTTACACAGCTGTATTCACACATATTAAACCCAACTTTAATGTTCACAATTTAAAAAACGTCCTAGTGTCATTCTTCCTGTTCAGATAAATCTTTGTTTGAGTCTATGTGTAACATACAGCAGGTGATTCCTTGCATTAATATATGACAGGGTTTAATTTGGCCTTTTACTGTGGAGGTAATAGAAAGAGATATATTGTCAGTGTCATATCATTTGGCAAGCCCACTGTCGTATTTTACGTTTGTCGTATTGATGTTATCCATCACAACACTAAGAAAGATCAGAAAACCTTAAGATTTTCAATAAAGAATATTATTTATAATATGTTGTATATCTAATGCCTTTGAATGTCGACTCTATTCTTCATAGTTTTCCCTCTGTGTAGAAATAACTGACTTGCCTTTTACAGACTCATTATATTTTGACACGCACTGACTCAAACACGTCACAAAACTTTTTCATCTCGCTTATGGTGTGCTCAAAGCAGATTCCTTTTTTCCTTATAGAGAATCTTTTCTCCCATTCTGCAGGATACGAAAAGACCGAGGACACATCAGAAAAGACGTCCTTAGCTGACCAAGAAGATGCCCGAATGATACACCTCAACCAGCCGCAGTTCACCAAGTTTTGCAGCAATCGAGTCAGGTAAGGAAATGTTGTGTTTATGAAAAATAGGGAAATATTAATGTATTGTGTGAACTGAACAAATTAAAAGAAAATTGTTGGTTTAAGAGATTCAGTATGTGGTCATAACCATGATATTAAGTATTCTAGACTTTTCTGCATATCATTATACATTGGACGACAGTGTGCTTAGCAGCTTAACCAACAGGGAAATGGTGATGCAAATCTAGTGTTGGCAAAGCCCTGCATAAGGAAGTTATATCCTCTTTTAGTGTCTAACATTACCACTGCTTCAGTGGCTTTTTTCGCTGTTCAATATTTTTGTGAACTTTAAAATATTATGTTTTTTTAAAAGATATGTTGGGCACCATGGCCTTTACTAATAGCACAGGTTCTAAGTGTAAAAGGGAAAATGGGGAATACATGCAGCGCAGGCCTGGGTTCTAACCAAATCAGTGGCTACTGCAAAAATATAACATTTAATCAGCTTTGTTTTTAGTTATCTTCAGTTTTCTTCTCTATTTGATTTTCAGGCAATTAAATGTTACATATCCACATGGTTTGCATTTGATTTGCAGCCCTTGTAGCAGCCCTTTATATCACCCAAACATTGGTAATGCCCTGACGAAAGTTGTAGGTCTGAGTGGTGGTCTGAGTGGTGGTCTGAGTGGTGGTCTGTGTTGTGATCCGTGTTGTGATCCGTGTTGTGATCCGTGTGGTGATCCGTGTGGTGATCCGTGTGGTGGTCCGAGTGGTGGTCCGAGTGGTGGTCTGTGTGGTGGTCTGTGTGGTGGTCTGTGTGGTGGCTGGCACCCACTTCAAACTAAAATGCACAGCTATTTGCCATCTTCCATGCCACTTACTTACCCGTTAAGCTGGACATAGTGTTCTTTGTTGCCTTGTTTGTGTGCTGGGAAACAAAATTCCATCTTCTCTCAGTCACTGCAGTCACAGTGGTGACAAGGAATAGAATCACACAGTAGACTGTTGCATCAAGTACACATACCTCTAGATTTTGAGTCTGGATCAACAAACACACATTTGTCCTCACTGAGTTGAGAATGAAACCAGAAACTGTCTCGCCATTATAAAAATAACTGAACATGTCCTCTATGAAAAAAGGGTTACAGTATGAAAACGGCATGCACCTTAGAGTTTTAATGTACAGCGGATGAGTGCAAGTTTGATTTATGTCAGTCACACAGGGTTATTTATTTAAGGCCAACATGCTTTTTCTTCATCTAAACTAAAATTTCTTCTTATGTGCTTTAAAAAATTCACATTCAAATTGTATTGTCTGCTGCTGATTGTTGCTATTTTTGACGTGGCCATGTCGACCCAGAAGCCATCAGTAGTTTTCATGGTACCTGCAGCATAACTTGCTGCTTTACCTTCAACCTCACATTAACCTTACAGGCACAGTAACAGTATGCTTTGACTATGAAGCAGCTCCTGAAATGTCAGCCTGAGGAGAATTTCCTGGTAGCAAATTGAAGTCAATTTTAAGTGTGTTTATTTATTTATTTGTTATAGTTTGAAGTATGGCCTTCTCTGGTGTGACAACAAAGAGGAATTTTATAGCAGTCTGAACTATGATATATTTTACCATTTAAAAATAATCTTAAATTCAACATATTCAACATACGACTTTTGAAGACATGCCCTGCAGTCACAGTGTGTAACAGTGTGCACTGCAGTGTTTCTGATGCGGGTAGCCACTACTGTTCTGCAGCAGAGAAGTCTGCTCCACAGGTACGCCTGTAACAGCCTCCCTAACCATATGATATCTGATAAGTACCTTTCAAGATTGGTATCACCAGCAGTGCATTAGTTCAGATCTTCCAGTCCGGCCTTTATCCTGTTCTTCCTCTCCGAGGCGTGCAGTGCTTTTAGCATTAAAGGTCAAGATTTTAGCATCAGGCCGTTGTGTCAAGGAACATTATTGTTAGTGTTCCTGCTGCATGAGCAGTTTGAGATATATACAGCATGTGCTTACTCAAACACAGCCATAAACTGAACAGTAATAATAAATGAGTGTGCTTGGCCATACCATTTGTTAAGTCAGCTTCGTGTATGTGAAGAACACAGATATTTTCTTTACTCCACATTGTTTCCTGGAATTACTCAACTGTATGACAACTGATGCTTATTCTACATTACTTTGGCTCTACTTTTTAATATCTTGTTAATTAGTTAGTCAGGTAGAAACCCTGTTAGCGCAATCTACTCAATACATGAATTTTACTTCTAGTTTGGTGATCCATTATTAACGGACACTGATGACTTTGCTTCTGCAATCATGTGAGCATTATTAGCCTGTACTAGATGGTTAATGGTTTAATTATATTGCATAAGTCATAATGCTGTTAGTATGAAAGAGCACCTCTGCCTTTTTTCAATATAAATGTTTAGTACATTTTTGTGACCTTACAAGAGAAGGTCATTAATTCAATAGTTGATCTGCCCCCAAGGAAAATTAAACATATGCTACTCTCTCATGCAACTAAAGCTCATGTTTGCACAACAAACACAAAAAACTAAGCCGCATGAAAGCAAATATTTTGCACTTATTATGATAATAGAATATTATCACGTAGATATGATGTCCAATGAATGCTGTAGGTGTTTTTGTAGCAGGAACATCCTACGTTGATCACATTCATCTTCACTGCACTTTGATTTGACTAACTAACACTGACATGGTACATATAACAGTTTTAATAATGTATCACACTGAAATAATTATGAGTTAAGGTAATTTAATTTAAGTTTGAATGCTTGCAGCACAGCTTTTACAGATACAAAAAACACAGCAGGCACAGTTAACTGGATGCCACCTTGTATGTTGATGTCTTTTCAAGCAGCTTTTGTTTCATGACCCACCAGTTCTTGGATGTGATTATAATGCTGGGTCTTTATAAATGATTTCAGAGATTTGCAGCGTTAGTGCAGTATTTCAGTACAAAGATCGTAGATGACAAAGAGTTCCTCTTTCATTTGTCCTTGTAGTTCAGAATGTGCCCAAACATTTGCCGCAGGCCTTGAAAGTCTCAGACTTTAGGGCTACTATAAAGATCTAATTTGTTCAACAGGATTGGTTGCTGTCTCAAAGTGACCTATGGAGACACCAACAGGAGCAGGGTCTTTGATAAATGGTGAATCTAATCTTACAGAAATACAAAGATCCCTCGCTGGTCTCCTCCTTTCATTTGATCCAATTCTCCCTCTGCAGCAGCATGAGACCTGCAGAACACAACACACATACACACACGTGACACATCTTGAAAGGAAGGACATGGTAGGTCATTCATCTTTAAACATCTTTCAAACCAGCTTTTTATAAACTGTGATAATCCTCATCTAGCAACAGCTGGTTTACATTTTTTACTTCCACCAAGGAGGTTAGGTTTTCATTGGTGTTTGTTTGTCAGTTAGCATGATAATTTAAAAATCACTGAACCAATTTTAATGAAGATTTGCACAGGGGTGGAGCATGACCTATGAAAGAACCCATACAAATTTGGAGCACATCTGGTTAAAGGGGCAGGATTTCTTTTCTCCTTTTTTACCATGGCAAGATAGGGTGCTAGCCTTGATGTAGGTATCCGTTCTCCAAATGCCCTTCTAGTTTCTTTCGAATCATAGCCCTCTGAATCGAATCGTGAGGTGCCTAGTAATTCCCACCCCCTAGTGATGACAATGTTGATAGGTAGTGTTACAAACATTTTCTCATCACTGATGCCTGGCACTATAATTAGGCTAACTGTGAGTAACTGGAGGACGTGCTCCTCTTATATCGTCTTGATCCTCAGGGCACTGCCAGGAAATAAAATGTGAGATCCATTATCTTCCATTAAGGAGATTGTTAAATGAGCTCTTCATCTTGCCCTTCCTCTGTGGAAGAAGTTAGTGTACTAGAGAGCACAGGACATGGCATGCTTTACACTTTTACCCCCGTGAGTTTAGAGGGAAGGGTGGAGTGAAGAAAATAAATGTGATGAGCAGAAACAGAGGGATGATCTCAAAGGCATGATGACAGAGGGATGATAAAGCCAGGGCTTTAAGGATAACCTGCAGGAGAGCTTCCACTGTTCCTTTTTATCTCCAGGGATAGACTGAGCCGGTAGCTACACATTAGCACAACCAGGGTTTAATACCCAGAGGGGTCACACTTTATAAATGTCAGTGTACTTATATATGATATAAAAGAATTTCACAATAGACTACAGTACATAGATTATGACTACACATCAGAATGAAAAGAAAAAAGAAAAAGAACACCAGGTTTCATGAAAATGTTCTTTAATAAATCACAGAAATATGGCACATAGAAATTATATATAGTCATGAGTTAACCTTTTAATTCTTCCCATTTGATTTTTCTTAATTGATCATTTACAAGGAGGAGTCTTTTTCTCCGTGCTGCATCTTTAAACTCAAACACCTTCTGAATGCACATAAAACCTGTACAAATACCCACATCTCTGCATGTCCTTTGTATGTTTTTAGAAATTATATCATCTTAGGACAATTATACACTTTTCATCATTGTATTTCTTAAAATCATAGACTTTTTAAAGTTTAAATCATTACATTTTCCATACATACATA